GGGGGTCGCCCCGGGGGTCGCCCGCCTTGCCCCTCGCCCCCCGGCCGTCCCCCCAGACATGCCCCGCCGTGGCGGCCCGGCTCGCCGAGGATCATGACTGCGGCAGCGAACTGGGTGGCGAACGGGGCCAGCCTGGAAGACTGTCACTCCAACCTCTTCTCGCTGGTGAGTGAGTGAGTGAGCGGGCGGGCGGTGGGCGGGTGGGCGCCCGGAGGTGGCTCCGCGCCGGGTTTGCCGGTCGGGAGCAGCTGCCGGGGGTTTATAGGCAGGGCCCGGGGCTGCTCCTGCACTGGCCCCTCCCCCGGCCCGGTCCCCGTGTTTATTTTGCTCCTTAGCGTGGTTTGCTGCGGGTCTGTGTATCGCGCTCGCAGCTGGAGAGCGGGGAGGGGACGGCTCTGTGTCCCCTGCACGACCATCTTCCCTGGGTAAACAGGCTCCTCTCCCCGCCTCCCTTGGCACTCCGTGCCCTGTGCGCTTTGTGCCACCGAACCGGGGGGTTTTCTCTCCTCTCACAATGACAAACGCCATTTCAGCAGCAGCGAACGCTCATGTAGTGTGATCGACTGTCGGACTTAGCTCTGGGCTCCTGTGACGGCGTGTCAGCTGCTGTTACAGCCTGCTCTCCTCTTTGCACACATCGTGCTCGGGGGCAAGAGGTTAAAAAAAAAACCACAAACCTTTTAATTTTTTCTTCTCTGAAGAACAACAGCGTCTGACAGTAGTGTGCCGGATTGTTTGCGTAGATGCTGTCTGCCCATCTCACTGGGAACTTCCGACGTGGATTGCGTGGTTTAATGTTGCAGAAATCATGGTATCAGTTTTGGCTGGCTATAGATCGGCAATTTAAATTTAAAATACGAAAACAATTTGTGTGTAACGGCAAAGTCATTTGGAAATACTTTGCTTTATTTTACCTGGCACGCACAGGAACATTATCCCTTCTGGCTGGGCAACAGCTGAGTGATCGAGAGGGCTGCTGGATCGTCGGGAGCCTTCCAGTGCTACAGGGATAATGTCGGAGGGGAGGAGGGACTTGTTCCGTGCGTGGTGTGGTGGAGTTAAAACCTTGTGATGCAACTTTGGGGGTAGCATGTGTGAAAGGGTTGTGGTGGGTGCCCCCTCCCCGCAGCAGAGCTCTGCCAGAATTGGAGGTGGGTGCATATGTTCTTCTTCTGATAGAACGGAAGAGATTGTTTTTAGCTCCCTTATGAAAATAAGGAGAGAGGAGAAAAAAGGAAATTACTTAGAAATGCAAATGTTTAAGCTCTTTGTTTTATGCTTTTTAACGTTATTGTAGTGTATTTGTTATTTTGTCTCAGAGGGTTGCTTTTGTTTTTTTTTTTTAAATCTACATGCGTTTGGTGTATATTACGCTCATACCTTTTAAGAATCTGGAACAAGAGCTGTAGTCTTCCACTGCTAGAAAACTGCCCCAAGAGCTTGTTCTGTGAGAATGATACATTTCTTACTTTGGCTTTTTATCGAACTGTTACGTTATGTAAGTTTGTATCGGTGCTTCTGTTTGAAGGCATGTAGTAATATTTATAAATATGTAGCAGTGCTCTGTGTGTCGAGATGCGGGAAGGGTGATTTGGGGATTGTTATGGTGATTTTGACTACGCTGCTCTTAGGCGGGGAGGAAAATAAATCGGGCAGCATGAAGGGAACAATCGTATCTGATTGTAGAAGGGAGGCAGTGCAGGGTTTGCTCCTCACAGAGTTGTGAAGTCCCCGTTCATTAATGCAGGCTGGAGTGTGTGTTTGGAGAGGCGGAACTTCTCCTGCAGTTGCAATCTGCAAATCTGTCACTGGTAAAAATAATTGTTGGCATGCAATTAGCATAAATTATAAAGTGAAGCTATTTTATAGTTATTGTGGTTTGGTTGCTTTTTTTCTCCCACCTGACTAGGCTAGGGAAATGTTCAATTTTAAATGGGTGTGTAATATCACTGAAATAAGTTAAACGAAATTCTTTTGCAAGTGGCTTTAATAATAATGAGTTTAATGTGCAACCCTTTAATCTCCCATGTAATTTTGTGGGAGGTATCTGTGCCTTAATGTGGTGCTGTGTATGAAACTCCGTTTTTTTTGTACTCTGGCTGTACAAAAAAAAAAAAAAAGGACTCAAGTAGTAGTATTTTTAAAGTACAGCCTATGTGAAAACTATTAGGAAGATTTATTTTATATTGTGTTAGGGTTTTTTGGGATTTATGTAGCAGAGAAAAATATTGAAAATGGAAACACTGAAAATATGTGGCCAGCACCACTGACCCTTTAACCTCAGATTGTCACATTCATTTCAAAATTTATGAAGTGTTAAAGCTACAGTAGTCTGGATTAGTAGTTAGAGAAACTTTTGCTAATCATTTACTTTTTCAGTGTAACAGAACAAAATCTAAACCAGTAGCTGGTGGGAATCCATTCATTCTTTAACAGCGAGGTAGATTACAAATATTTTGAAAATTGATTCTGCTATTAGAAGTTGGGGGTTTTTCAACTGCAGGTTCTGTTTTGTGTGTGAATCACAAAGAAATGTTCGTGACTGGAGAATTACAGTTCTGAAATAATTATAGTCTACCGTGATACTGTTTGTTCATGGTTTAATAATATTTCTTGCCAGAGACATTTGTTTTGTGGAAGCAGGGATGCTGTCTCCCTGCCCTGGAGAAGCCGGAGCTCTGTGTCAGCTCTGTCTGGTTGCTGTGGTGGATTTGGGTTGGTTTAACAATTCATGATTTCTATTTTTCTGTCAGCTGTAGACACACTCGAGAGGTTAGGAGCCTTTGCTGCTTGTGAATCTTCTGATGGGAAGTGATTTCTTAAAGCTTTATAGTAACTGATTCTCTTTTATTGGTAATGTCCAGACGCTGTGGAGGCACTCAGTGGCGTGGGCTCAGAATGTGTCGCCTGAGGGGAGGGCACGGTCTGAAGTGAAGGTTTTAAAGTTCCCTTTGACTGTGCAGGTGCTGGGGGTGGTGCTGGACTGGCAGAGCTGGGTTCCATGGAATGTCCCTCTGGATTGCAGTGCTTGGCAGCACCGGGTGTGCGTGGTGTTCCAGCAGCGCAGGGATCCAGCTCTGGAAAATGGGTTAGTGCTGGTGTGCTGTGGCAGGCAAAACCCCAGCCAGCCTGCACAGACATCCCCAGTCCTGCTCTAAGTGTGGAGCCTTTCCCAGTAAGGTGATGGAAGGGCTGCTTTGCATCTTTGTTGTCAGAGTACTCCTCAAACAATAACCTGTTTAATCTGCTAAGTATAATAGTCTTGCTCATTAAAAATACACTTTCTGCCTGAATTTGCTGTTCCTAGCACAGAAGTAGGAAAAATTATATTTACCCTCACTCTGTTTTTGCTGTAGTCAAAATGTCTGCTGGTGCTTCTGAAAAGAATGTCTGTTTTGATAAACAGTATTTAATAAGCCATTGTATGGGCCTGTTTATTTAAATACTAATTAAGAGCTGTCTAATAACTATTTAGAGACAAAATGTTCTGAGGTAATATGCTTTGTATTAAAACTTCAGCCTCAGCTGGCAAGCAGTCTTCCTGTGAATAATCCTTAATCATAAAAGTAGTCTTACTGAAATTAATTTGACTTTTCCTGTGAGTAAGTGTTACTCGTATGACAGCAAGGGCTTTCATGAAGATGTTTCGTCAACTATCCAGGCTTTGCTGTCATGGTGGATCCAAAGGCACAAGTCAGTCTTGGGAAATTGGGGTGAAGTTGCATAACATTGGATATACTGGAGCTGGAAAGAGTACAGCCAAGGGTGTTAGGAATGACCTGAAATTCGGTGGAGCTTTCATGGGGTGGAAAGATTTGGTACTGTAGGAATGTTCATGCTGGAAAAGACATGATTGTGTTCTGGGGAAGTGAGACCAGGTTATAGAAGCTGCTATGGAAGATGTCCCATGTTCTTGTAGAAGTGCATTCCTACAGAAACCTGCTGCCAGAAGGGTCCAGGCAGTGGGAATTGTGTTTGCCCTTGTTTAAAAGGCAAAGTTGAAAACAGTGAAGGCTGTTGTTACTGTTAATTTTTGCAGTTCACATCCAGGAACTGAAGTTGTCCCCTTTGATCAGTGAGTTTTGTTGGTGTTTCCAGAATAAAATAAAAGGAGTTAAAGCAACCTGAGGTGGTGTTTGGCTTATTCTCCTAAAGGTTCTTCATGGCATCAGAAAGTGAAGGTTGCAGAGGCTGCTGTGAGCTATTCCTTGGTGTTGCATAATTGTCATTAAAGGACTTCATAGTAAATGTTGGTTGCTCAATGCCTTCAGTAGTAGTGAATTAACCAGTAGTCCTTGCTTGTTGTGTTTTCATAAATGCAGTGCTCCGAGCAGTGGGCTGGGATTTTGGCATGCTCAATGTTCAGCACTGCACAGTGTTTATCTTGCTTGTTTGGAATTTTATGTAGGTGTGAATTTACATGCATAAATAATTAAGAAATGGAATTAACCTCTCAAGTTGTGCAAAAGTATTTGATTCTCTAGTTATCTTTATCCTGAGTTTTATTAGGTAACAAGACAGAAGTAGAGAGATGACATTAGAAAGCTTGTTCACTTCTTGCTAATAAAAGATTATTTCAGGTTTTAAATCACTTCAGTGGTAGGTTTTTATTATGTCCTGTCAGAGTATTTGACAGTTTAATGGGATGTGCCAGGAAGAAGGTTTGAAGAGAACAGACCCAGATTTGCAGAGACTGGGACAGTGACATTCAGTCAGTACCAGGAGGGGTATTGAGGGATCTGTTGGATAGCCAACCTTTTGGGAATATTCCCAAAGAAAACGGGGGGTGCAGGAGTGACATTTGCAGCTCAGACTAAGTGTGCCCCAAGCTAATCAAGAAGAAATATTTGAGTGAGGTTTCCTTGAAATCCTGAGTATCTTGTGAATGCACACATGCCCTGGGGCTGGAAATCCTTCCCCAGAGACTGTCCTGATTCTGGTGGTACTGTGAGTCCGGCTGTGTGACTGCTGTTGGGAACATCAGCACAAAAAACTAATACCCAAGTATCAGGGTAAAGTATTAAAAAATATCCTAGGTAACCACCTTAGGAACAGGAATTTTAATTTATTGTAACACTATCTGGAAATAGATTTTTCTATTTTTCTACATTTTTAATACAGAATTGACATCATAACCCCAGTTCTAATACACCCTCCCCACCCTG